ACATACAACACTACTGATATAACATTTACTTTCGCGTGCCGTAAATTCCATGGGAAACAGGTGTGAGCCAAATCACATGACGCACGCGCATGTGAACGATTACACGCACACGTGGCACTGCAATGTATTTGTGACGTCATGAAACAAAACAGATGGCTAACCTCGTTGGCCGAGCTATGTGTTTCAACACTTCTGCGTACGAATTAAACGCATAAAATATTCAGGTGATTTCTTTAACATCAGAAATCAAACTAATAAATAGAGAATAGGAAACTTAATATATAATCACGAGGTCGTCGAATTTCAGCCAATGATAATTCGCAAAATCAGTGAAAAAAAAAAATCATTGTTTTATGGTTCGAACCTCGATGGTTTTCATGCCCTTCGCTTCAACTTTCTCTATTCTATCACGCTATTTAAGCTATGCTTTCTAGCAAGCATTATGTGTTAGATCAATAAATCCTGATCTATTTGAAGAAATTGTTACGCGGTCAGACAAACAAATCACGTAGACGTATAAAATTTTTTAATAAAACTACGCGTACGTAACTTTATTTATTAAAACTATAGGTAAAATAAACAATAAAGTATTGGTATTTATGATAGTATACTGAGTATGAAACAGTTATGAACGTTCAGTGTATGACACGGTTTTACCAGTTGAAACAAAGAAACTCACTAAAACATAAGAATAAAACCTGTACTAAAGAAAAATGTAGCTACAATGTGTTGATAGCAGTCTGTGAAACGAACTGAAGCTAAAGTAGTAATGGAGGCAAACGTAGCTGAATATACAGAAACGTCTGAATGTGTGTTCACAAAGTGATAAGCATATGGTTTCGAACGAACTGCGCATGCGTATTTTAGGCCTAAATAAGTCGAGAAATGTAATGTTAATTTTTTTTAAGGAAATTACACGCGGGTTATTGTTGTTTGTGTGAAATACTTTGCAATTATAAAAACTAAAGTTGAAATTGTAGGCAGTCGTCACGTGATGACAACAATATGCGCGTTGGATTGAAAAGTTTAACGAAGCAAAAAACAGGTAAGGTGATTCTAAATTGAAAAGTCAATATGTAATCTTGACTACACAGATAGACTTTTCTAACGATATGATATTTGTAGTGTTTGATCGAGAAATTAGCGAGAAAAGGTCCGAACAGACAAACGCAAACGTATTGTTTATAAATATTACAACAATTTAACATATAAGCTACTAGACTTTACCCCCTTCAAATTTTCTAGCTTTTGTTCCTTTAAACTCTCTTCTTGCGAAGGTACTAGCGCCACCTGTAGTAGACTGAATACAATCCTAAAATTAGAAGCTTCTACTCAAAAACAACCTGAATTGGGCATATGAGAGATGAAATGCGACGTGTACGTTATGCAGGTTATCACTAGTACGCACAAAAACGATACTTTTAATGCTTAATGAGGTTGTAGAAGGCTTTAAGTAATAACGGACTTACGATTTCAATGTTTTTAGTTTTCTCAACTAAAAATGTTATATAATGTTACAACACCTAATAACACTAACCATATTGTTATATAAAGTTACAACACCTAATAACACTAAACATATTGTTATATAATGTTACATCTAGTAAAACTAACCATGAATGATTAAGACAGGATTACTGTTAAATCTGTATGTAACCTAGGTGTAGTGTAGGACCACATCATAGCCTACTCTGTACGTACCTTTAGTGTAGTGTAGGACCACACCATACATACCCGTATGTGAGGTAGATGACCATATCACAACTTATTCTGTACCTACCCATAGTGTAGTGTTGTTACAACGTAAGTGTGAATCGTTAAGTTTCAATAAATAAAAATCAGTTAAATGGCTGGCTATAAACTGACATCTGGAAAGCAAATAAACCCCACGAATGAAAAATAACGAGAGGATTAAATACTGTTCATTTTTAATGTCGAAATGTTTTGTTTTTATCTTTAATGTCTTTGATATGTTTTCAGCATTACAATAATACAAGTTATATGGAAACAGAACCAAATACTTAAATGTTCTTATAGTTAAAAATAATACGAATAATGCATTGACTTGTAAAACTGCGAACTGAAACGAAGTTCAAGGTATAGCATTACGTCACTTACACTTTGAATCATTTACTAAATTTAGAACACGTTTTTACATAGTTAGCTATGACGTAATGTGGACCAAGCCAGTTGGACAGGATCTAGATTACTCTGTGGTTTACTTATAAACTTGTAGTAACAGTAGTACTTTCTATGGGTATGGGATTGTGATCTGAATAAAATAATGTTTTATGGCACATACAAAATAATAAATAGTAAAAGCCTCTCTCTCTCTTCGTCTTATGTTTCATTATGTTGTAAACTTGTTTCGACATGTAAGATTACACTTGGAACGTCAAAGTAAATTCAGTTACCTTGCGTTTGACGTTGGTATCAATATATACCTATCCTGGGGATAACAGTCTCCAAAAAAAAAATACAGAATCAGTTTGTGATTATGAAATACCGGTCGCAAACCTGTGAACGGAAGGACAAACAGATTCGGGTTCTATCACGATGTGAACAGATGGACAAACAGAAACAGGTCCTCCCATGATGTGAACGGATAGACACACAGGATCAAGTCCTACAATAGTGTGAATGGACAGACACACAATATTTCTGACACTAATGGTAAAAACTTGAAGAAGGAAAACCATTAATATATTATATCTATATGTAAGATTATTACAAACCGACGGAAATGTAAACATTGACTTACGTAATTTCAGAAATCGAACCTTGAATTAAATCATTTCCGTTCCATCAGGCATTCGTTAAAGTGTAGATAAGGACTGTTTGAAAGACAGAACATGCCAAACACGTTTATCACACAAAACCGGAAACAAGATTATTATGAATATTTTGTTTTTTTTTCACAAGCTACAAATGTAACAGTTACCTCTGATGTAAGAATGCCGCAGACACAATTAATATTTTTTGTTTATCGCTCTTAAGCAAGAAAAATCGTACAAACAACAACTGATAACACATGTTTCCTGACACTACAGTTCCGTGCTAATGCTAGGGTAATCTGTTTGTCAAATAACCGGTAATTAACCCTGAAATAAACATCAAACGACATCATATTATCTCAACTAATAGCATGCTTGAATGAACGATCCGCAGCCAAGCCTAACTATCGACAAAAACTAGGTCAGACTATTAGACAAAACTCTGTCTTCATTATCCAAAATGTACGTTTTTATATTCCTCTTCGAATAAGGCCCAATTTTATACCTGAATATAATTGTTTTGTTTGATATTATTTACCTTAACTATCAACCAATTCTTTACTCAACGTTTCGACACCGAGGGTGCCCCCCAGTGGCACAGCGATATGTCTGCGGACTTACAACTCTAGAATCCGGGTTTCGATACCCGTGGTGAGCAGAGCACAGATAGCCCATTGTGTAGCTTTGTGCTTAATTACAAACAAACAAACTTCGACATCAGGGACCGGCTCGCTGCCTCCTTCAACTGTCGCGAATCGCGAAGGAAACACTTTTGATATTAAAGAAAACTTGATTTAGTAAAAGATAAGAGAAAGGGCTGTTGAACATTAATGTTGAATATTTTATTAAATATAGTCTCAATTGTTCCAAACATCCAGAAGAAAATAAACTTAACCGCAATATCGACCTAACGACAAATCTGTACTGTCGTCCGTTGCTTTGTTAATAATAGAGAAAAAATCCCTTCTGTACGAATGTAGGCCTGAAGGATTTTAACACTGCGTGTATTGCTCAATGTTTTTGAACTACTAAAGTGGTTATAAAAACTGGAATTTATTACCAACTACGAGTGGTATACGTTGTTGGTGAATTCGACTATGCCATTGTTTTGTTCCTTCGGATATTTTTTTTCTAGTTTCTATTATGGAAGATGTTTTGGATGATGGTCAAGGCCAACAAGGGATGTAAAAAATCAATGATGTTTCTAATAATCCAATTAACTTTCCGAAAAATTACCATAAAGTTACAAATCAAAATGATCAAACTTAACAAACTCAACGAGAATTAGAAACTAACAGACCTAAAATTTATTTTTAAAATCACGTACACCGCGCATAATTGTTGTTTTTTTTTCTTCTTTACCACAACTTTACTTACATTGAAGCGTAGAGAAATAAATGTTAGCTTATAATGCTTCGACAGCAATCGGTATTTAAAACCGTGACTTTTAAAAGTGTTATACTACATATATAAATAGCGTTTCAGGTCATCTTTTGTTTCCGATCGTCCATCCCGAGTGGCAAGTTCTGCTGTTATACGAAGGGCCTCTTGGGCAGTGACTTGTGGAAACAAAAGACAGATCTCAAATGCTAAGCGGAAGGTAAGAAAGAAAGAAAGAAAGACAAATACAGTTTACGTGATTTTTTTATTACAAGTACTAATCTTTAATTACTGTGACTTACTCAAAATTTATGAAATGAAAAGCTTTGTATACACTGTTCAAAATAACTTTAAATGCGTTGTCACAAATATAACGGATAACTATTATTAAATTTATTAGCGATTACTATTAAGCATAAAACAGCCGAAACATTACGTTAGGCCTAAAACTTTAGGTAAAAATCACGTAAGCTGCAGGTGTTTATTTATTACACATTTTAGGCTTATCGGTTCCTAATTATGTAAACCGTAACTTTCATTGTTCGACTTCGAAAATGACTTGTCTTTAATATTTAATACAATTTCCTTCATCTTCTTATTACATAATTAAATTAGGTTTTATATCTTTCATCGTTATTATCACAATAACATAGTAACACAACCAGGCAATAGTCTAAATTTCCCCACTCAGGATTTCTCAATAAAAAAATTAACTTTTACGGAAATATTATACTATGAAGAAACAACCATAAACTCCAGAACAAGACAGTTGTTTTTTTAGTTCGCTCAACGTAAGTTTATTCTTCACGTACACATATTTTTTAATGTAATTTATGCCACTCTTACCTTTTTAACACTCTTCCTTCATTTGTTTTGCCATTAGTTAACAAGGTTTGGGCTCCTACCGCTCGACCATTGATGATTCCTTTAGATGGGGTAACAGGCGTACCTCCTCCGCTGAACCTCATTTCTGGAACCGCATCTACGGATATGCCGTTCGTTTCGCCATTAGGCTTAGATTCATTTTCTGGTTGGGCTGTTTCTCCATTCATCAAATTATGGACCATGATGGATTTGGGTTTTGCTGGAGTAGAGTTGTTTTTATCTTCATCGACAACGTACGGTGTCATCAGTTATCACTTAATGTTAAGTAACGAGACACTGGTAAAAAAATATTGCTAGTAATAGCAGACTTTTTCCTGTTTATCCGTTGAATATATATTATATATTTCTGTCTTTTATTTTCTCACGCATAGAACCAGTTATCCAAAGATTGATAGTATTACCAAAGGCATGAAAAATATAACTACGCCTTTTTAAACTAAAATGAAAATCCAGAATAAAATATATTATGCGTGTGGTTTAAAGTTTGTTACCAATTGTTTATATTTTTAAATCTCTCGAATTTTAAAACTTTCACATTTTTTAAAAATTTAAACAATATATAGCATTTTTATACCTTACGATTCGTATATGGCACTAAAGAAAAACGTAAGCTAGGCCGAGTAAATAAAGTCAAAGTTATTAAAACAGAAACTTATACAATAATATTGGTAAAAGTGACAACTTCCCTTCGTAGAAATTTCTTCGATAATAAGGGCTATTTCGTCCCTGCAAGCAGTAATATCTAAAAGTCTGTGTTTCGACGACGAAGTGAAACTCATTAATAAACAGTGAATAGTCTAAATGTTCAAAAAACTGTTGGCACCCATAATGTCAGTGAACCAGAAATGGGGAATCGGCATACAATGTGTCGGAGAAATTAGGGCAATGGTAATATTTGCCCCTAGTAATATCTGCTTAAAACAAGAAATGCAAAAGTACCAAACATTCGATCTGGCAAGTCACGAGTCCTTCTTTCGCTCAGTCAACGTTCTACTACACCTCTCTACAGTTGCAGACGATCCAGTCGCTTTCGTTATCTGGGTTCGTAGTCGAGGCAACGCGCCGCTTTCGTGCTAATCTCAGTGAGAGGGCAGAGTCGACTTGTTCGATAGGGGCCATTACAACAAAATAGTGAATTTAAATGAAGGGGCCAATAAATTCACATTTATTATTTTCTGTAAAAGTCATCACTAAGAATGACATTTAGCGCATAGATACATAAATAATTAATATCAAGCACGGTAACTAGTTTGCTTACGTAATAGATATTGAAAAAATTAAAACAAATATCAGCATGGTGTTGTTATGTATACTAACATATATTATTATATTATATTATATTAAAAGTAACTTTTATCTGAACAGTTTAAAGCTAATTATTTTATTTCAACGGAACATATATATTTGAAATAGTAGTTTTACTTAAGTTGTGTAAAAAAAATATAGTCAAACTGAACCTGGCGTGATGTGAAGGATGCCAGTACAAGCCTTCGGTTACAAACAATATACACCTGTAACACACGGACCTAAGGCATAGAAGAATTAAATAAAGAAAATAAAGGTCCAAAAATTGTGCTAAAGACGTATGATAAATGTCCTTTGC